TGCGGGCGGCGGCGGGTGGGGCGGCGGTGCGGGCGGCGGCGGGTGGGGTGGGGAGGTGCGGGAGTGCCGTGGGACTTGGGTGGCGCGGGTCGGAAGGGCGTGCGGGGAGGGGGAGGGGGGCGGAGGCTCGGGGGGGGGGGGGGGGGGGGAGGAGCAGCCGGGGGGAAGAGGCGGCGGCGGCAGAGCCAGGCTGTCGGAGCGTGAGGCGCAGCGGGGGGCGGTGGTGGGGCGCAGGCGCGGCGTGCGGTGGCGCGGCGGGCAGGGCGGAGCGGTGCGGCACGTTGTGGCGGGCGAGGCGCCGGGGGGGCCTTGGGGGCGCGCGGCCGAGACGAGAGGGACTGGAGAGGCCGACGTCGCGGGCGGCGCAACAGCCGCTCGAGCGTGCAGGGAGGGGAAGAGGAGGGGGGGGGCGACGGCGCACCGTTCTCGTCGACGCCGTCGTGGACGCACCCGCCGATCGCGTCCCCGCGCTCGGTCGCCTTGATCGGGCCTCCGAGCCCCACGCACATCGCGCAGACGATGGACGACTTGCCGGTGCCGTTCGGGCCGATGATGCAATTGAGCTTTCCCGGGTCGGCCGTCAGCTCCGCCGACCTGGGGGCGGCGGCGCGACGCGGTCGGCGTCCGCCCGGGCGGCGCGGCGCGGTCGGTCCCCAGCGAAGAGGGTGTGAGGCGGGCGCGGCAGGCGCGGCGGGCGCACGTGTACGACATGAAGTTGCGGAGCTTGATGCGGACGATGGTGCCTTTGGTGTGGGTCCGGCGCCGCTGGGACGGCGGCTCGTCCTCCGTATCCGCGTCGCGCACTCGAGGCATGATCAGAAGCGGCGGCGGCTGGCTGCGCCCGCGGCTGGCCGGAGCGGACAGGAATTCGCGCCCGCCTGGGGAAATAAAGAATTCAAAGGAAATAAAGAATTCGCAGTGTGCAACCTGCTCTTCCTTGGGTTGTTTTTGCAAACCCAGATCATTACCCTAGATCACGAACCACACCCCTCTCCTTAAAACCCTGTGTGGTGGCGGCGTGCCGTCCTCCCATCCCTCCCTTGGGTTGACGTCTTTCTTTCTTTCTCGATCACGAACGCATTACGTCGACCTCGTCCTCGTGCCGCCGCTGCCGCTTGGAGTGCTGCTTGGAGTGTGAGAGAGATTTTGTGTGTGCGTGTTGGTGTTTCATAACATCAAAGTCACCAGCTGCATACCCACGGGACCAGCTGCTGACCAGCTGCATACTCACGTGCGTGTTTGCCTTATACTTAATCTTACACATAAGATGGTCTCACACTCGAGACTGCCGACTGCCCTGAAGGACATGCACACAACCGACCTCGTGCTTGCGTTTACCTACTCTTAGTTACACATATATGTTGCTGAACCCAAGATCTTGCTGCATACACTTGGCATGGCAGTTAGTCAGACACAGCTCCCATGGAGCGTGCGCAGGCAAAAACTGGCCCGCCATCGCGTCTGTTGTGTCTGTTAACTGTCGAATTCTTTCCTTTGGAGCGGGGAGGCTCTCGCTCCTGCCGGGAGAGGACCTCCGTCGGTGAGGACCTCTGTCTCGTGAGGACCTCTCGTGAGGACCTCTTCTCCTCTCTTGGCATCATGTTTCTTACTAAGAAAACAACGATAGCGCTCTAAAAACACCTGTTCTCGACACTGTGGCGGTGGCGCACGACTCACGCGTGCGTGTTCCCAAACGTACACATACATCAAACCCGCGGCTGGCCGAAGTGGTCGCTAGGTATTCGCGCGCGGCTGCGGAAACAAAGAATTTTTACACTCAAGTTTGGACGACACTGGGCACGGGACTACCTACCTACCTACCTACGGGACTGGCGCGCACTGGCACTAACACTGTCTGCTGGCACTAACAACTCTCACAGAGACAGGCTCGACACAGGTGGCTGCGAACTGGCGCGTGCTAGCACAATATAAAGAATTTAAATTCGCAACCCGATGCCAATCATCCGGCCCGCTGTGTGCTTCTTAGCCCCCCGGCCCTGGATGTGCGGTTGATGACTGCACTCCAAGTGCTCCACAAAACAACTCTCTCTCACAGCAGACAGGCTCGACACAGAATATAAAGAATTTAAACAAAACAACTTTCTCACAGCAGACAGGCTCGACACTGGTGCGAACTGGCGCGTGCTAGCACTATCACAGGCACACCACCGGAGCCTAAGCGACTCCGTTAAGAACGGCAATGCACTAGCTCCGTGCACAATGCCAGAATACAAAGAATTCCAAAAAGTGCTCCAAGTGCTCCAAGTGCTCCAAGTGCTTGACTCCAACCGCACACACACTTACCTCAGACGTTGGGCTGTTGCTGTCAGGTGCTGTCAGGTGGTGCTGTCGGGGTGCTGCCAGGCTCTGACACACATCAGCCACACTTATGACACTATCAAGAGGGCGCTGACTATCAAGGGGGTGCTGACGCCGATGACGCCGGCGGCTACGCAGCTACCCCCCCCTCCTACACTGCGTGATCACGCCGGCGGCGGCGGCCGCCTGGGGAGCGCAGATGGCGGCGCAGAGGCACAGGCGGCGGCGGCGGCACAGACGGCGGCGGCCACCCCCACCCAGACGCCGTAGGCATATGACTGTAGGGCCCCAGAAGGCTAGCTGGTAGCTTCATTTGTAGTAGCACAGCCGCCGGTGCTGGAGAGGGGTCCGCAGAGGTGGGGCGGGAGGGTTGAAAGAGAGACCCATGACCATCCCATGACTACATGGACCACACTCACATGTCTTTGCATGTAATTTTGTTATACCCTCATGGGGCGCAAGAAAGAGGCTCTACGGGGTCTGTGTACGGTCTGTGCTGCTGTCAGGCTGTCAGCGCTGCTGTCAGGCCACTGTGTGCTGTCGGGCTGTCAGGCAGCTGTCAGGCTGTCACGTTAGGGCCTGACAGCGACGGGTCACCTCGCCTGTCAGGCTCTGCTGTCAGGCTGTCAGATATGTGCTGTCAGACTGTCAGAGAAAGTGCTGTCAGCGCTGTCAGGCTGTCGGGCACTGTCAGGCGCTGTCCGGGGTTTGCTGTCAGTCTGTCAGACCAGGGCTCAGACCTCTAGTCAGACCTCAGTGCCGTTTGCGCTGCACCTGCAGCGACTGTCGGTGCAGCTCTGGATGGCGCTCGCGGACGAGGCACAGCGCGCCATTGGTGCGGCGTCACGCGGCCGCGAGGGACCGCGGGGGAATGCTAGTGGGATGGGGGGCTCTGAGCAGAGGGATGCGCCCCGCCACACGCCACACAGGAGACACAGGAAGGGATTTTTGGGGGCGCGCCGCCAGGCGCGTCCCCACTTTTGTATCACAGCTGCGAGGGCCAACCAAGGGATTCGGCGCGTCAAGTTAACTTGACCGCTCGTTCGGGCTTTGGGCCGCAGGCCGGCGCGCAGCGCCACGCCGCCAGGCGTCCGCCGGAGGCCCGCCGGAGGCTCTTCCTGCGGCCACATTCTGGCAAGATTCCGCCGCGCTCAGGCGCCCAGAGGATGCGTGCGCTGCGCTCAAACGTCGCGATTTGGCAATAGGCGCTCGAGCCGGCGCACAGCGGACGGGTGCGCCGCGCAGGGGGGGTCGGAGGGGTGCGAGAGGGGGCGTGGGTCGGGCGCGCACCGGCCGGCTCCGGGAGCGGCCGTCACGTCGAGGAGGGGGGCTGTCGGCGGCTCGAGCGGCGAGGCGTGCCACTCTGCTTCGCCGCCGACAGCCCCTCTTCCGAGCCGGCGCGTGGCGACGAGCCGCGGCCAGTGTCGCTGGTTCCTTTGGCGGCGCAGCGTTTATCCCCCCCACCCGCGCCCGCCCGCCCGACCGCCCGCCCGCCCTCAGGCCTTGCCCCTTCGCAGGCGCGGGAGCGCTCGCCGGCGAGCACCTCCTACCTCTCCTCGCCCGGCTGCTCCCTTGCCCCGTCGCCCGCCGCGCCCTCGCCCGGCCTCAAGAGCTTGCGGCCTTTGTCCGCCAG